GTTGCAATAGGCACGCAATACGTGCGAATGTAAACAAGCCAAGCGACGCGAATATCTGCCACGCGAACGACTGGTACAAGGTAAAAAGTATGCCAATAAAAAGTATTTCCAGTGCAATCGACAGGTATGACGCTATTTTTTGTTACCAGACTCCTATCAATACTCCCCTGCACCAACCAGGGGCGAGCTAGGTGAGAATGAAGACCGCGGATGATCTGAAACTATTCATTCGGCCTTGATAATCCACGCGTACTTTCACGAATCTACGGGAAAAGGAGGAATAGAATATAGGAAGAGATATCAATCATCGTGGTTTTGTATTATAGCCTTACTTGTTGTTTTTAGTACGATAGTCGCTTTGTTATTGATTGCGTCGCGACGTTCTAATCGCTTACTGCTGGTCTTTATCACCAATGTAGACGGCTCGCAATCCCCCATATTTCAGTAGGATCGTCGGAATCGAGGGGGTTTGATAAATGTGGTTTTTAAAATAGAAGCTAGAAGAAGATTTGATACACTGATACAATCCCTTTTGCAGTATATGGTTAATCACGCAAGCCTTCAGAGTGTTACGTTAATTGCTTACGTTTTAAGTTAACGTTAATAATCCAATGTTATACTTGTAAATTGCTGGTAAAACTGCCTGTTAACTACCAATGTTTCTATGTGTGCATTTCAATAGCCGAGGCTAAGATCCGCTTTATTTTACCCGCATATCCATCCCCAATGATTCTTAAGTTCTAATAAAATCCATTTTCCTAGTTTAAGATAACTGCTACTCCCCTTTCCTAGTCTCTAGGCCTCATTGATTCGATCTGTGCGTTTCGGATCACGTGGTTCGAGCCAGCTTTGCACCGTTCGTCTCCGATACGTCCCCGAAGTGCATTGAGAAGGCGTGGAAAGACGACGTAACCGGACTAGGTCGAACTACTCTTCTATAAATGACGGGCGTGCTCAGCGTTCCTTTCAAGGATTTGACGCGCCGAAAATTGATGTGAACTACAATCGAACCTCGTCCCCAGGGTCTTCTGTGCCGCTGCCATGTTGAAAAGATGAGAAGACCCTGGGGACGAGGTTCACTGGAGTCAACTCTCGCCTTGAGGAACCTTGCGAAGACCTCGCGATAACAACCCGATTATATGGACAGCATCTAAATCCCTGGCTTAACTTACAGACAAAGGAGTTTCTGATAACTTTAAAGGGTGTTTTTGGAATTACTCGACAAGAACGCTCACCCCCCTTTTAAAGGGCAAAACCCCACCGGCGTCTACGTAGCCGTCAGATGGGTGCGGTAAAGGAGCTCTTGATTGTCAGGCAACGCCTCTCTATGCACATTGCGCGACGACCTAAATAACAGCGAAGAAGGAGATCGCGGTAGCTTAAGGCAGCAGCTGAAGAAAATTCGTTGCGGTCAAGCATCCCGTTTAAGAGTCAAGGCTTAAATGGCAGACAGGCATTATTGGGGGCCCTCAAGCGGGGTTTGGTACGCGAGCGTGAAGCGCAAGAGGAAGGAAAAGAGAAAAGTTCTTCCTCTCGCGTGTCTCGCGCTTCACGCACGCCCCTTAGCGCCCCCCAAAACTCGGCTTATGAAGGCCATAGACGGAGAATAACGGTTATCTTAATTCATCATCCATCGTCGCGTATTAGTTCCACCTTATCACAACACCCTGGACCTAACAATCACTTAACGATATCGGGGTGTCTCAATGAGGTGGTAGCTTTGACGGTTGACGGTAATTTTTTTTCCAATTTTGACGATTGACGGTTTTAAATATTAACTGTTATGTGCGTTATTGATCAAGAGTGAGGTCAAGATGGCTGGATATTAGCCATATTACATGGCCAAAAAGAGTTTTTTTCACTCTCGTTATGGTAGGAGCCCACAATCCGGAGCGAGCAACATCAATGCGCTCGACGCTCGTGTCCTGGCGTTTTCATGGACCAGTTTATTTCTAGAACGGCTTTTGGCACGAATTTTGAATATCTTTTAAATTCCACAAACCTGTCAGCGAAACCGTGACCTACAGACCTAAAAATGATATTTTTTGCCTTAAAATAAGTTCAGTTTTCCTTTTTGATATCTAATACTTCAAATGCGCTCATAGACATGGTGGAGATTCTATTTTCGCGGGAAAAAGTGCCCTGAAATGTGTCCGTAAAAACGCCGTGACATAGGCCTAGTATGGGAGTTGCTCGCTCCGGGTTATGGGCTCCTGTTGACGGTTATAATAATATTAATCTGCATATTTGAAGGTTAACGCTTTAAAAGAACTTTTTTGACGGTTGACGATTAGCCCCATTGAGACCATCATAAAGCCAACGAACTCCAACCAAAATTTGCGTTAAAACATTGACACCGTCTGTAAATCAGATCTAGAAGTATCATCTCCATTTCCTAAGCCAGGGGACCACTCGAAAAATGTTCAGCCCCCTACCCCCTCTCTAAGTGTTTGAATGCGAGTTCACTTACTGTACACTGTTTTAAACCGGTTGCAGGGGGACCGTGAAAAGTGTTGGCACGGTGTACGGCTCCTGCGGTGTCGTCGGGAGAAGAAATAGCCGAACTAGTGGCTAAAAACATAGCAAGAACAGCAAAAATACAACTCGACGGATGATTGTTCCTATTTAGAGAATATCTGCTAAACTAAATATCCCCATTTATTAAAAACTGAATCATTGGATGATGCTATTCTAGAGCTCTGATTGGCTTAGGCATCATGGTTTCTGAGCCATTATACCATGCTCTCCAAATATGGTAATTGTACGTGCCTGCTCAAAATTAAACAAAAGCTGAAAATCAGTTGTTCTTACAAAAATAAAGTGGGAAGAGTTCTCAATATTTTGTGGGCGTTTTTAATAAAACAATTATTCCACTCGCGCTTGTTGGATACGAGATGATTATGGCTAACAAGGCGCCTAAAAGCCAACTAGGCGCTACGCACCTCGTTGGCTCACTACCATCTCATATCCAACGCGCACTCGTGGAAAACAGTGAACTTCCTTCATAGCGGACATTGTATGGACCTCGAGTTAGTGTCCTCATTAGCAAGAGTTCGCAATAGCGGGAGTTTATATCAGTAAAACGTCTGTAAATTGTTTTTGCCGGGGATTTAGCTGCTGTCCGTTTTATCGAAGTGTCCGTTATAGCGAGAGGTCCGCCAGGCGAGATTTGACTTTAATTGTTAAATATCCTGAGTTTGAAGGGGAAAAGGCATATGAAGACGATAACCTAACTTTCATCAAGGTATTAAAGAATGTTTAAGCATGTATATAGAAAAGTGTAATTAGTGTTGTTTTCGTATGATCTGACGCAGCACCTATTCTCCCCTCCCCCCTCAAATGCAAACTGTTTATCCGAAAAAAATAGGGAGTTTAAGATCCAACGACGCGGACGACAACTAGAACGTCAAAAAAACAATAGGTTTAATTAGCAAAACAACAACTTCGCACGCGCAACACACTTTTTTGTTCATTTCTTTCCTGTTTTTGCACGACTACGACGTGAAAATGCCTCATTTCGCGTTTTATGGAGGACGTAAACAAGCAACGACGAAATTTTATTTCTCTTTCTGAGCTTGAATATGGTCCCTTGAAATTCAGCTTCAGGAGGGTTCGCCTACAATTGACAAAGTAAGTGGGTAGGAATAATCGCTATAAAGGCTGAAAAAACTCAAATTCACTTTTTAAGCGACGTTCTTGTCGCCGTCTCGCTGTTGGATCTTAAAATCCCTAATGTGTTTTAAGAACGTGGCGACATGGATGTGGATATGACAATCTGGTAAGTAAACGCTGGGTGTGACCCCCCTCTTTGACAAATCCCAGCTACGCCCCCCTGACTACCTTATTATAGAAACCTTGACGCTTATTGAAATTAACCCGAATTTCACGTTAATTCATTTTGTAAACTTTAATTTCTGCGCCGTTAATTACGTGGAGCCTTAATTTCTGCGAGCTTTACTGTTCGCATTCCAGAAACAGTGAAACTGTGAAGAACCCTCGAAGTGGCCTGATTTGACCTGACCCCCCTTGCGTACGTTCAGGGAACCACGAACAAAGTTTTCATTTCGGAATATAGGTTTAACCTTGTTCCCGTTGTCTCAACAAGTTTTGGTTCTTTGTGAACGTCGCGTTAATTGACTTTATTTTGCAATGTTACCTTCTTTTTTGTGTTCATTTCCTTCATTCGAAAGTCGTTTTCCACTAAAGTCGCGTTAATTTCCAATGCCTCACCATTTTCACATGAATGCACCCTTTTTACCCCCCAAAATTTTGCATAACCATTGTCTTCGAGTTCTCTTAGGCCGACTATAAAACATATCGAACCAATCGATATGCAAAATTTTGGCGTGTAACCAAGGTGCATTATGGTCTATGTGGAAATGTTAATGGAGCGTTAATTTCCTATAACAAGGTATACAGTTCTGCTTTCTTCAGTTAGCACGAGAACATCTATTAAGCGCATGCAAGTCCATCCGTTTAGATCCTTTGAAATAAAACGATCAACTTGAAACCTGAAATGACCCCTGGGTTCAAATATTTCACAGTTTTGAAGAAAAACCTTGCTCAGTGGAAGTAACAAAACAGTAAAATAACTTACTGTAAACAATGTCTCGCTCATCAATTTCATTCTTGAGTTTATGCAGCTGATAAAGCGCCTCACAAAAAGACTTGTGGTCTTCCACGTTTATATGAACGTCCGGACCGACCGGGTGAATAATACCAGATTTCCACCTTCAATGGAACTTCTCAAACAGATCCCCTAGGGGTATATTCGGTAACATCCCCGTGCTATTGCCAAAGATCCAAGTACTTCCAATTTCGTGCAGCATGCCTGTTAATTCTTCGTTAGTCATCATCATTAAAGTCAAAATTATATGGTCGACGTAGTTTCTAATGTCAAATTTTAATGTAGTCTGCATCTTATAGACAGTGAAGCTTCTCCAACAGAAATGTTGCTGATGTTTTAGCAAAGGTTTAGTTTGTGCTCCATAACATGCCTGTCACAGATGCAACATTGGTGACAATTCGTGGGATGTCTGTGTACTCAACATATGCTTATTTGCCAGCATATATTCACAATGTCCTTGTCTACCTTGGTTACACTAAAGGATAGTCACCTGGATATCACCATGGTAAGAGATGTTTGCTTACAAGTCATTGTTTACAATTCATTATCTCTATACAAGACGAGAATCAACTGCAATGCTGAGCACAACTAAAGCAGAATGGTGGACATGTTAACAGTTTAATCACGAAATACTTATTCCTTATCTGCTTTTAACACTGTACTATTTAAGCTATATAATCCAATTATTGCATAGAAAACCCTTAGATATATATATTTAGCAAAAACTACAGAACATACAACCAATGATGTACTTTTTCATAGTTTATACAGAATGCTTCCTTTTTTATATGCAGATACATGTAAACTCAAGCTAGAATCAGTTTTTCAATATTGTTCACGTCACCGACAGAAACTTGTTTGACAAGGTGATGAGTTGTGCTATAATTAGGTTTATATTTTGAAACTAAAATCATAAATCACAAACATATGCTTCTACATCTACAAAATTTATTTACAAAATCCTATAAGGACGTCTAGCAAATTCCAGTGCAATGTGCAAGAATAAAAATGAATAAATAAATATGTGCAAATAAGGTAATAAATAATTGTGGTATAGTAATGATGACATAAAGAACAATCAGTTAATAATTAAGTTGATAAAACTAAAACTAAAACTTAAGCTTCAGGGTAGTAAAGAGTTATTCCCAAGATCAGTAAGGCAAAAGGCTACAAGTTCGCCCCCTATTTTCCGTCTTCACTGCCAAGGGTATATCTCCAAATTCTCTTCACCCTAGTTAAATAAAACATTTAGACATTCATCTAAAACATTCTAAGGCATTGGCTTGGGATATTGAGGCAAATCTCTTTAAGACGAAAGTTCAGAAAATTTCATGGTAGGCTGGCGGTAGTTTTATTTATATCACAAGGAGCAAAATAAGCAAACTTTACAGCATAACCAAAACAATAGGAAAGCGAGGGAGGGAGGCTCACATCTTCCCTTCAGGTCTGCCGCTGATCAATTAATTTCTTTGGAAGTTGTTAGCATGGTAACGGGTAGCAATGTTGAAGCCTTCCAAGGGGTAGAAGCGAAAGGCAACATGGAGCCGAAAACTGGGGACAGTCCTCTCAAAAAACACCAACAATCGACAGAAAAGAAGGAATGAATTGTGACAGCGACAATCCATTTTTAAGAAGTGAAAGCGGCATCTGTTCACTTTGCATTTCGGCTGTTTCGGCAGCGAAATAGCAAATTCTCTTCCGTTATTCCCAAACTTCTTTTGTTATTTTCTTTAGAACGTTATCTAATTATGGTATTGTTCAAAAACGGTCATTTTAGGGAAAAAGGTTAATAGCAATTAATTCTTTCCAAGCTCTACATCGCCATAAATTCCAAAACTGAGTATCAAAAATTTATGCTGAACCAACAGCAACATTTTGTTACTAGCTAAAAGGCGACAGGGACTTTATTCCTAACTTTCTAGGCGAAATGACCGACAAAGGCGATAGCATACCCCCGCCCCCTCCCCTCCTCAAGGTAACCGTTAACAACTACCATAATATTGGTTATTACTCAAAAGAGGATCTGTTACTTCATCGATAGATGTATGAGTAATGTCATCCTTTCGAAAGCGTCGGCCAATCTTCTTGACAAAATAAATAATCAAACGAAATGTTTGCGACAAAATGGCTGAAGCAGCTAGCAAGGACAACAATGCAGGAACAAGTCCCACTGCAGCAAATTCGAACCACTGAAGTCCCTTTAGGAAAAGCTTGTTTCTTCCCTTGGCACTTATCCCGGAAGACAGGAGAGTTGCCTTTATCAGGCTGATTTTGGCGACGATTGCCAAGGTGACTAAGGACGTCGTTTCGGCTTTGTTAGCGGTGCTACTCCGGAATGGGGCCTTGATTATGTGGTGGATGGCCATGAGGTCGCACGCGCTAGCCATGAAGAAAAGTCGGATCATAGCGTTAGGGATGAACGAGTGAATTGTAAGAAGGATGAGCCGTCGACCAATCATAACGCTCTCCCAGTAAAGAGTGCCTTTATCTCGATCATTAGGTGCGCGAAATGGCTCGTGTAGGACCTTCATTACTTCAGCGCTATTGTCCAGCCTTGCTGCAGCTTCTTCGCTATCATTTTCTTCCTTTCTTCTCTTGAAAACGCGCTTGAAAAGCCAATAGATTAGAAATGGTAAAGGAATAGCACAAGCTGCGAGAAATTCACCTGAAGAAATGTAAGAACTGTGCAGCTTTGAAGAACCGTAGTACAGGACTGCGATAAAGGGCACCACAAACACGATGATGTACCCAAGAAGGATGTATTGCCACGGCTGCCAACAGATCGTGGTACCATCAATGAACAGTCGATGCTCATAACCAGTTCTTACACAGTGCATCAGCCCCAGCGAAGTTTCAGCCAGTCTATCGTATCCTAGCAACAATATCTCCAAGGAGACCGCCATATAACGGCTCAACGATGGCTTTCTCACCTTCTTATGGAATCTGCTGATAAGCAAGTGGGCGCAGAAAATGAGGGCGAGGTTCGCCATTGTTGCGAACACCACCAAAGAAAGAAGCAGTTCTTTGGTGACTGGGGTCAATCCCGGAAATGGACACTCGATTCTTAGGTAATCAGAGCGGACTTGAAAATTGAACGCTGAAATCATAGCAACAACGAGGGGCATTTCATGAAGCAAGTCATCAAGAGAACTGCCTAGCAGTAAATCGGCGACTTGGTAGTAATAGAAGGCGATTTTTGTATAACCACTGTCTGACTCGTCGCAGTTTTCACTCTTTTCTTGGTTTTGTCTTCTCTCCTTCTTTTTCATGAACCATAAAATATGTTGTGGACTGAGAAGTCGAAGCAAAGGAGGATCAATTAACAGATATAGAGCCAAGGCGGCCGAGTAAAGAAACATCGCTATCCAGAAGAGGTAATCTTTACATTGAGCTGTTATTCTGCACTCAGAATTAAATAGTGTTTCAGTGTAACCAGGTGCGCACTGGCCACACAGAAAACCAGTCCTGTTTCCATGGCAACTGTTGTACACTAACGATTGCGGGCTCGGTGAGTGGCAATAACCCTTGGGGCAGGGAACAAAGTTGAGTACTTGCCCATCTCTTCCCGGCACATTGTATCCCCAGAAGTTTTCTACTGCCGCGATGCTTGATTCGTTTCTTATGCATGTAGCTCCCAAAGGACATGGATGACATTGGAATGAATCATCTACAGCCAGACCTTTTGAGAAACCAGTTTGTAGGCTGTAATATCCGGGAGAGCAAAGCTTACAGGAAAACCACAGGACCGTCACGTTTTCTATGCAAAAGCGTTCATGTCTTTTTTCGGTGTATACAACGGTGTATACAAAATGCGTTGCATTTGCGAGAGACATCTGACTTCCTTCGCAGCGAATGCTAGTTTCGCTGTCGATATCAACGTATCCTCCGTTGTAAACAGCCAACACGGAAAACGAACGCCTTGTAGAGGTGTTTGAAAACATAGACGAGTTCCGAAACTTGATGGGTCCTCCGCTTTCAGAATAAAAGAAGGCGACATTTTTGAATTTCCTGCCAGAGATAGTTGCATGGTACGTACTACTAACAAAAGAGCAGTTGACGAATTCTACTCGACCAGTTCCATAGGCGGAATAAACTTGACCTGTGTGCTTCGTTGCCAAATTGTTTTCAAAGGAGCAATTCCGAAAGGTAGTGTTTCCGTTGCTAAGATACACTGCACCCCCACTGAGCCCAGCGTTCTCTTGAAATAACGTATCTTCAACAGTCACGTGACTGTCGTATTTCCATAAAGGGTGAGTGTTGTTGTTTATGTTTCGTTCGACACACCCTGGATTGTAGCGTTTGTCCGGGTTGGAGAGAATCGAGATGGCACCTGTCGCCGTCTCGTAAGCAAATTTACTATCACCATAGTTCCACAGCTCTTGGCTAACAGACGTGCAGTGGCGAAAAATCGACCGCCGTATGGTTACATACTTCTTGCCACGGAAGTAAAGGGCGAAATAGCTGGCAGGACGAGAATCAAATATCACTTTGTCTATTTTTACTGTGGCTCTTGATGTTTTGGTGTTTTTCCCCACTGCGGGCATATAAAATCGAATCGCGTGACCGTTTGACTGGCCGATGAAATTCGTGTTGTTCACTGTGAACGATACAGACCGGGCCTCTCTTACAGTTATAGACACGTCGTAGAGGTTGCGTTTAAAAGTGCAGTTTTCAATTAGGATTTTGACAGGCTTAAAAGGCAAGTCGCTGCGAAACAACCATTCTTTGGATGTTTGTAATCCGTGTCTGCAATAGGCGATGGTCACGTTCTTGAGCAAGATTTCATATTTTGGGTTGATTATCAGGGCTCCATTTTGATTATTGTACATAGAAGTGTTGGCTACCAAAACCTTAAGCCTTCCTCTGTGTTTTTTCAGCGCTTCGATTCTTACGAAAACACTTCCATTGTAATGACTGTCGGTGAAATTAGACTTCAAAATTGAAACAGTTGTCTTCCAAGTACTAGTACTTGCTACAAATATACCTCCAGAGACCTTTGAAACAGTGTTTATCCAGTGAAAACGATCAAATTCCACGAACCCACTCTTCATCATAACACAAATACTGCTATGTGAACCGGCGCAGTTTTTGACGCGGACGTTTCTAAAATGCGCGTTTAGAATATAGGTTTTCGGTTTAGCTATAGGACTGTGAGTTTTCCCAACCAGAACCGCAGAGCCCTGGGTTCCGGATTCGCATTCAGAAAAATTCACATTAGTGATTTCAAGCCTGAGCACATTTCCTTTTACACTGTTGAAAGAAATCGCGCCGCCCCCGGAATATGCCTTGTTTCGCTCAAAAGTAGTGTTTGTAATAACCAAGGAAGCGCTGAGTTTGCATTCAAGACTCAAGGCTCCGCCCTTTCCTTTTTTCACAGTTTGCTCGACAAATGAAGAATTTTCGATTTTCACTTTAGCCTCGCTGGAAGAAATCTTAATGCACCTTAATGCCAAGTCATTACTATTGTTAGCGCAGAGAAAGTGATGAAATCTTGTATCAGTTTTTCTTACTTGGGATATGTACATGCTATCCATATAGTGCCTGGCACTGTTTGTTGTGTTAGATGACCTCAAGTTATTGTTTAATAGTTTTACATGGCTGTATACTTCCTTTGTGTTAGCTGTCGGTACATCTAGCAGCATGAAACGAGCCTTGTTTTCGACGCTTGTGACTTTGTTTACTGAAACATTAATATAAGTTTGCAGTGATGAATGGGATTTAATGTTGGTTCGTATGGAAATCACAGCTCTAGTTGACTGATTAGATTGAAGGCCATTTTCTTGAAATATGGTGTTGTTCACGCGAAGCGTGAGGGAAAATCTCCCTTTTTTTCTTATCCAGACTTCAATGCATCGTTGGTTGTTCAGAAACAGAGATGGTCCCTGTATGTGTAAGTGGAGTGTTGGAATATTTTCCGTCCAAACGCTGACGGCGGCTCTTTTCCCGGCGTTCTTGAAAGAGCAGTTTATAAGCTGAACGCTGCTACAATCATCAAATACAAGCGGCGCATGCTCGAATGCAATCCCAGACAAGGTAATTTTTATTTTTTTTACTTTATCTTTATAAAAGCGAAATCCTTTTTCACACTTAACATGCGGGGTAGAATCGAGGGGTTCTATAGACACGCCTTTGTTAATAGAAATTCCCCAATATTCATAATTCGTCAGTCTACTCATGCAGTCAAAGGGCTGGTCCCTCGTTCCAGAACCATTAAGATGAATGTGTCCATTTTTTACAACCTGTTGAACCGCTTTTGCTATGGACCGGCATGGTTCACTCTGTGGGCCACAGTTGTCGATATCTTGACCATGAATGGAAACATAAACGTCTGTACGGCTGCCTTCTTCTATACCTTGGTTTCATAAACTGTAACAGAATTAATATAATTAAGAAATGATTTTACAGGGGCACCCAACGACGATTTCCTCCTAAATACACTTTTTAGGCGGCTATCCGAAGTACATGTAGATCTCTAGAAGTGCATTCTAAGCGACACTATACAATTTGTGTCTGTTCGGTCATCCTAGGGTAACCTGAGTCTTTTCAAAATTACGATGAGGGCTTGAGGATCATTTCTCTGAAAAATTTGTATGTAATTTAAAGTATTACGAAAGTGAGAATTTATCTTATTCCTCTCTCCATCTCATTTTTAAATCGAAAATTTTAGGTTTCCTTTTTTGTACGAAAGGTAGCTTAGCCTGGGGAGTTCAATGAAAAATTAGCGGTCCTGAAGTAATAGATAATTCTAGGTAATAATTGCATCTCCGAACAGATATTTTACAGAAAACAGTCGTTTGGTGCTCGTGATTGTTGCGATTATAAACTCAAGGTATGCAGTTGCAGCATAGCCCTGAAATACAGTAATGCTCAAATTTGCGCCTGGCACTCCTTTAAGTTTCTCAAAGGGGGCGCTTAGTTAAAGGGGGAGATAGATAATTACGTGACAATATATGCGCGAGCAATTAGCGTAATTTCAAATGATTTAGAGCGGGCTTATATTTCAAAATAAATATCTTTTCTTTTCTTTTCTTTTTTTTTTTCTAATGTTCTCTGAGGAACTAAGTACTTTATAAAATGGTGAAAATAGAGCCGAGTGGCTCTGGGGGCGAGAATGAGTCCGAATATGCAGATACCAGTGAATGCGCATGTTCCCAGTATCAAAGATGGTACCAACCTCGTCCTCAGGAGTCCCTGTTGTGCAATCTCGTTCTCAGAGGCCGCGATCCTTTTGGTCAGCGACAGGGCGGCGCATGATAAAAGGGACCCCTACTGGGGACGAGGTTGCGTTTTCAGTCACTATTGCGTTTTCGTGTGGACAGCCTAAAACATTATTCAAGAAAAACATCGTAGCACTAAAATAAGGAATCTGGAATCCGGATACGGAATCATGGAAACGGAAACGGAGACAGAAACGGAAGCGGAAAACGGAATCAAACATCAATGATAGAAAATCAAAGAATTTCACATTGCGTAATTTAGTACAATCCAAAGAGAATTTGTTTTAGTTTTCTTTGAAGTTCCCTTATATTTTTGTTTATTGGTTCTTGATAAGGTTTGCCAAAGTGTGATTTATTGCACTGTAAAGCCGATAAAAGTAATTTTACAAGTTATTTTTATTCACGAGTTTATTGGTTGAATAATACAGTTAAATGCTGATGGAATACTGGTGTAACTGAGTTTGCGTTAAAGAGGCTTATTAAACATGGCGTATTATGTTGATGTAGTTAGCCTGTTCCAGGCATTCAGACCAGGGCGACAGCGCACAATCCGAACGCCTGGAACAGCCTATGATGTAATCAGTTGCGGAATCAAGCAAATGCATGAACAATTTTCTCTTCTCTTTGGACTCCACAATGCCATGGTTCTCTTGGGTAAGTTGTCTTGATAAATAAAAGTGAACACTGTTGAAGACGACCCAGAAGAAACACCCAGGAAAAACTTGACGACGACGCCTTTCTGGTGTATAAACGACGCCTCTGTCGATTAAAACGAAGTCTGTCTCCATATCACTTACCTCTTTTTAAAGGGACTAATTATTCCCAGTGACTTCTTCTCATCAGCTATAGTTTTTCTCCTCGCTTTGCTGCCCATGAGCGTTTGCATTCATTGTCGGAAGTGGTATCAAGAGTCTTTTCACCGGAATCGACTCCTCTAGTCATACAGCAGTCTCCTCTACTCAGGTAATTTATTCATTTATGTCTTTATTTTATCTGTTTATTTATCTAGTTACTAAAACAAGGAACCACCTGAAACCACCTGAAACCACCTAAAACCAGCAATAATTTTTTTTTATTTTTAATTTTTCTTTTTTAATTTTTAATTTTTAATGATGCACCAGTGAGCAGCACACTTACACTTCCAGTGAACAATTTCACTTGGAAGAAGGAGAAAGCTGCTCACTAGTACATCATTAAAAATTAAAAAACTGAAACAAGCAGAAGCCACTCTAGAAACTGAGCATAGAAGTGCAATGCACTCAGCTCCCAGTACAGAAGTGTAGTACACTCTGCTGGTATAGTAGAATTCCGACTTCACTAACGCTAGAGCCCTGTGGTTCAGTGGTTAGAACGTCCGATCTAGTATGCGGAAGGTCGCGAGTTCGCTTCTCGCCAGGGGCACGAAAATTTTCGTTGCCCCGGGCGAGCATGGTTTCTCCTTCTTCCAAGTGAAATTGTTCACTGGAAGTGTCAGTGTGCTGCTCACTGGCACATCATTAAAAATTAAAAATTAAAAAAAAAATTATTGCTGGTTTTAGGTGGTTTCAGGTGGTTCCTTGTTTTAGTAACTACCGTTTATTTATTTCATTGTCATTGCTAATATATTCGATCCGTATTCCGTTTCCGTTTCCGGATTCTATGTTTCAGGGTGTTTTTGAAAACGGAGCAAAAATCTTCAGCTTTCCTACGTGTAGACGGGGCCTAACAAATGGTTGATGAATCAACTGTATTAGATCAATAAATAAATTTTAATGGTGAATTTGGTTTCTCGTTGATGGTGGATACTTGAACAAACTGTGATCGATGTCAGAAAGTCTATATCGAACCTAGCGAGCAGTCGTGGCTCATGCAGAAAAGATTCCTGACTTGTCTTAGCTCAACTAATGGCCTTTACATTTTCGATATTTTCGCCAGCGCTCTTGTAATTTCCTAGTAAGGTTGCAGGAGAAATTTGTCTAGAGAAACGAGAGTCAACCATGATTACATGTCTGAATTCCTGAAGAATGCAGGGGAAAAAAAATCATCTCCCATTTTCGGTTTTATTTCTTCCCCCTGAAATTTATATACTGGATTTAAAAAATATCGTGGCGTCTAATTTTTTCCTTCTCAAAAATCAAATTACTGAAACAGTTATATATTTTGGGCGGAACGAAATACGGTTTAAATTTGCTCTCTTTAAGTGAGGAATATCACGGAAAAACGAGTTTCTAAAAGTGGTAACAGTAAGAATTAAAAAGAATTTCGTAGAAGTATATTAAGAGCGCCTTGAGTTCATGTGTTCGTCGTTAATTTAATCTACAGAGAATCTATTAAATTTTTTTAAAAAAATAGAAAAATGGAAAGAAAGAGGCCTTTACTTGTACTGCCGCTTATGGAGAAAACAAAAATTGAAAAGAATTTCAATTCGTAGAAGGATATCAACAGCACTTTGAGTTCACGGCTCGTCATTAATTTAATCTGAAGAGAATCTATTTAAAAGATACAAAAAAAAAAAAAATAGAAAAATGGAAAGAAAGAGGCCTTTACCTGTACTGCCGCTTATGGAGAAAACAAAAATTAAAAAGAATTTCAATTCGTACAAGGATATTAAGAGCGCTTTGAGTTCATGTGCTCGTCGTTAATTTAATCTATAGATAATCTATCAACGAAAGAATAGAAAAACGGAAAGAAAGTGGTGTCTACCTGTACTGCCGCTTATGGAGAAAGCAAAGAGACAAAAAGACCAGGCTAATTCACAAAGCATCATGATCGTTTGGGCAAAAATCCAACAGAATAATGTTTCCTTTCACCTCACTGGTACAGCAACCTTTCGGGCTAGCGCTGTCCCAAGGCTGCGTTTTAAGGGTCGCAGCCTGGATACTGAAACTTCCTCCAGATGACGTGAATTAGGAAATGAAAGGCTATTTCTCAATAAGCGCAGGTGGCCTTCTAGTATTAGCATAAAAAAATTCTTTCAGTTAACTGAAACTGTTTGTTTTTTTTACTAGTTTTCGTGCACGCTGACTACGTCCTCTGCTCGAGATACGTATCTATATGGGAAGACAAGCTGGCCACGATGATCATAGGATTTGTTGCCAAGGAGGCAACCGAGCTAAGAAGCGAGGTTGACTCGGCGGCAGAATTATAACGCCGCGCAATGTAGGCAAAAACATTCAAATTCTGCGTAACCCTCTAAAATTTGCATTTTTGACCATATTTGGGTGTAAGTAAGACCTCATATTTGGGTAGTGACGTCATGGTCTTGTATTTACAACTCGTGGTCCGAAATTGGGTGATTCAATGTGCGGCTGTTCATGTAATATGTCAAAAACGAGTGCGAGTGTTTCATCAGGGGTTCCAGACACCGTGAAACAGATGAAAGCACGAGGCCGCAGGTCGAGTGCTTTTTTTGTTGTTGTTTCGAGGTGTCTGAAACCCCTGATGAAACACGAAGCACGAGTTTTTGACATGACTTCTCAAACGAGTGTGAGAATTAAGTGGAATTATTTCCGAAGAATAGGTAATTAGCAGACGTGCTCAATAGGCTATTGTTTGTTTCTTATTCGTAATAAATGAAATGAATATTTAATATGCGGCCATGCTGGAGGGTTTTTTAGTAGATTAACATTACGGAGCGTGATGGAGGTCGAGCCCGGATCAGAACGATTTCGCGTTTCTAAAACGTCTTTCCAAGAAAATGTTCTGGTGAATGACGCCGTTCCAGCTTCAACTAAGTATAAAAACAACTGGGCTGTGAGCATTTTTTCCGAATGGCAGAAGTTAAGAGAGGTTCAAGTTCCGTTATTAGATTGTGGTGGTCTCTTCAAGGACTACGATTTACACAAGGTTACCACTCTGAGCGCAGATATTGCCGGAATGGATGCTCTGTCGCTTAACTATTGGTTGTCAAAATTCGTGATGGAGATAGCTAAAAAGTTCGATGGAAGATACCCTCCCAAGACTGTTTATGGTATCATTTG